GAACTGGTCCGCTCGTGAGGTTTGAGAAAGAGTGTACGCAGTAGAACTTCCTGCAGCTACATCTCTGTATGCCACCATCAGTGCTATTCCAGGTCGTGTTATTGTTTCTGCAGTTGGCACATTCAGCGCTTTGAACAAGCTGCGTGATTTGCTCTCCGTCCGATCCACCGTCTGTTCGTCTTCAGATGACCGAGGAGAAAATGCGGTTGATTGCAGACTTACTGTGGAACGTCTGAAGAAGCTCGATTAGCTCTCTGGACATGCACTTGGATTAATATAAAAAATCTTCATTTCACTGCCTTTTCCAGGCAAGTGCGCTGTTTTTCGTCTCTCACGCGAGATAGTAATAACTTCTTTCGAGGTTGTCTTCAGTGAGGTCCTCTGTGAGCGCATCCCAGTGACTTCTGCTTCCCGCTGATTGTTCGGACAGGATTGCTGGCCTTTATAATATTTTTGATAAACACCATAAAGTAAGTTTCATTTGGAAGAGCACTGCACTGCTTCTGAGGACGACCGGCAGCAGCAGCAACAGTAATAGAAACACGAAATTCGCGCTTCTTCAGGGCCCAAATTATGCCGAACTCTCTGGAGTGATATTTCGTTCGTTCCACGGTATCCCTGCAGTCCACGGTGTCCCTGTAGCATTTTTCTCTGTAGCCCAGCAGTCTACTTGCACCGGCTCTACCATTTTCCATTTCACCGTAGCTGTGCGTTATTTTGCACATCGACCAATACACCTTATCAGCCAATTCGTTGCGAGCAATGCTGTCTGAGAGAGAACTCGGTCTTATCAGCAACGATGGCGAATTTTCATCACAGCTTGATGTATGCAGTAGCTCCCCCTTTGCATTTCCTGGGTAAGCACTGGTTCCTGGGAAAAGCATAACATGATAAGCACCAAGAAGCGAGGTGTAGCCCTTTGTTGCAGTTAACCATACCTTGCTTTGTCAAGAGAATTCTGCTACCATCGACTATTTCGGTAGTTAAAAATTCTAATCAAGTTTGCTTTTAACCATTGTGTTGTATAATATATAAGTGTCTTGTTGTTCTTTCTCATTTTGTATGCTCCCT